AACAATAGTCGCTTGCCTTTAGATAAAGTTTGAATTTCCACGAAATAAAACAAAGAGGAATATATCGCTGTCAAAAATGCAACATTGACAAGGGTACATATTTGTACTCAAAAACTCCTTAATCTAGTAAGAGTTACAAGTGTACAGGAATTCAATCCCCATCTACAAGCAAGACAGGTATTGCAGTAGATTTCACTTTTTCATTTAGTTTTCTATTTAGACCTAAACAATCCAAAACGATCATCGTAATGTAACATCTTGCAAACTAAGACGGAAGACATGTATGGTGGCACTGTTCGTTTTTACAGTGCCTGTAATTTACTCGAGTAATCACCATTCTGCTGAAAAAACAATCAGGAGTAAAGCAAGGTGTGCAAACTACGAGTGCAATCCTGAAATGGGACGGGAAGGGTGCAAACAAATTCGTTGATCATGTCGAATACTGATTAACCAAAAGTCCCGAGATACTTAATTTACATTTCTTTGTGAAACGCAATAAACTATACAAGACAATGACTTAAAGGCAACTTACAAAATTCAACAGATGGACCTACTATGACTTCTAAACAAAAAAGCAAGTTGAACATCATTTTCACCGGCAGTAGTAACTCAACAATACGCAGCGTCGTCGTATTCTATGAATAAATGCGGATACTATTTATTACAGAAGGTTTCACCTTAGATTATGTTGTGGGTATATTCTTTGATGAAACCAATCAGATTACACTTATTTATTTAATGAAAACTATCTGAGACACAATATTGAATAATATAAATTGGAATTCACCTTAATTAGCTTAATATTGTTGATTTTAATAAACATTTTTAACAAAAATTGAATAAAAGAAAAAAATATGAATGAATTTTAAACCTGATGATTATTTATGAGCTTTCAGCACTACTTTATATAAGGAAAGGATTTCTTTGGTAAAAATATATCAGAGACACATCAGTTTCTTACCTAGATTGAGCAGATGAACCATGGAAAATTAATTTATTCCCAGCGTTTTTTTTCGGATAGACAGCATGTAACGTTCCTTAATAACATTCCAGAACCCCTGTGTTTTAAGATGGCATGGCAGCTGACTCTAGTGAATAGCTGTGGAAAAACACAAAGCTGAATTTCACAGGATTTTATATACATAAATAGCAGTAAAGAAATTTCTTAAGCAAGTACAAAATTTGAACAAGTGGTTGTCTTTTTTCAGACAAGTAATATTTTATGGTCATTCGGCCAAAGAACAAGTTGTTCGAAAAGTTAATGTCGAATCCTGCACTTTGGTAACTTTGAGCTTTTACTACTTTTATTAAAAATTAAGATGACTGTCACAATGGAACAAAGTTTGACATAGAACCATATGAGAAAGACATAGCACTCGAAACATCGGGTGGTGGCACAAACAAATCATAAACTCAGGGGAAAAACCATTGTCAAACATACCAACACAAATAAAACAATAACTATCCACACTGATCTGTGTCCACACTTGTTTATAATACAATAATTGTCTTTCTTTTCAACGATTAGAAAAAGAAATAATAACTTGACCGTTATACAATTATTGGATATAAGTATTTTTCAATGGGTATTATTCTTCATTAGACATACAGTCATTGTATAAAATCTATTTTTACTAATTAAACCTTCTTCAACTTGTTCAATAACGGTCAATTCCATCAATGAGATAATTGACTGACAATCAGCTGATACAGTTTATGTACCAGTTTTCCTTATAAAACATGACTACGTGATTGTTAGTGGTCAGTATCAACACAATGAACGTCACACAAAACTTCACAGTTTTAGAAAACGATACATATTGCGGAGATAATTGCAACAAAGACGATTCTATAATTCTTATAGTAAGTTTATATTTATTTGGATCTTTAACTGTTATTTTTAATGTTCCATCTATACTTATGGTGATAGTGACAGCCTTGAAAAAAATGAAAATAAAATACATTCATATGCTGAGTTTGAGCATCACTGATGCTTTACTTGGAGTTTCCTGGATTTTGTTGACACAGACACTTGGAGGAACAAAGATGTTTTTCTTTGACTGTTACATCAGATGCTATTTGCTTTGTATAACGTTTATGGCATCAATGTTTCAAGTTTTGGGAATTTGCATTGAACGAAATATTGTGATTTGTTTAAAGTTGAAAATAATGAGCAAACAGAAAAACTTTGTATCAATGGGTATCATTATAATGTCGTGGGGCCTAGCAATACTGATAAGTAGTATAATGTCGGCGGTCAATGTTAATCGTTTTCATGACGCCAGAACGTGTTCATTAGATAGTATGTTTCAAGAACATAAATATAGAGCATTTGCGACATTCGGAATAGTTTTTGCCATTATCCAAGTTGGAGTTGTGGTTGCTATGATAATTTTACTGGGATTCCTTATTCAACATCACAGAAAAATGGTGAAATTGAATGTAAGAAAAATTAAGAAGTCTGACATACAAATATGCATAACATTAAGCATCGTGGCTTTTTTATTCTTTGCTGTAAACACTCCTATAACTGTAGTGTATCTACTAGATGGATTTCATACCGGTATGTCATCATCAAGAATTTTAAGAAATGTGTGCTTTTTGTTTGCTGGGATAAATTCGGCGATTAATCCATTCATATACATCTTCAACACAAAAAAACTACGAGATTTATTCCGACAAAGTTTTAATCACATTCGCTCTTGCAATAATCGTGTACATCCATAAAATAAATGAAGGATTGCGCTGATTGTTAAGGTGACGGTCTTTTTCACAGGCTACTTACAGTTTCAATGCTGTGACGAACATAAATCTTGAAGAAATGAAAATAATGCACATTGTGTTTTTATTTGTTTGTTCATCACTCATAAGTGAAGGATTGCGCTGATTATGGAAGTCACGATTCGTGTCCTTACATTTCCAATGCTCTGACGAACACTATCTTGCAGAAATTAACACTTAAGTATGTTCGCTCCTCTTGTTTTTGAATTTTTGCCAGATTTTCGGAATCCTCTGGTTTTATCCATGTATTGCATAAAAAATGTACCCATTAACCCCTACTTTTCTTTTCATTACATATAGTTTTAAAAGCCATATTTGAAAGTCTTATGAATATTTTTTCATGGTTTTTGAAACAAAAAAGCGGCCAACGTTAAAAGAATGAAAAATCTAGAGAGAATTATTTCCCGCCAAATTTTCAATGGCTTTTATTTCGTAAAACAAGCTCACGGACCCTTCATTTTTTTTTTTTTGCTTTTTTAGTTCCTTTATTTATATACTATCATTTTAGAATAGTTTTTTAAAAAAGCTTGTTATTTTGAAACAGAGTATCAAACATCCTTAATATCCGATCATATACATTTAACTGGAGGTGAGAGCGTACAAAACTTGTATAAGATAGTGATAGTTCTGTTTTGTTATGTTTATAATAAAATCTCTTTTTTCATTGGTAATTTAAGAAAGTATACAGTGATGCCTGCTTATGTGGCGAGTTCAAAACTTTAACTATTTTGCATGGTTAAAATTACGATATACCTTTCGTTTACAGACAAAATTTGGATAACTGACTTATCTTTTTTTTTAATATGTGGGTCAATGAGACACCATCCAAACGACAAAAATATCCCAATGACATCTGTAGAAGGCAGCATAAAGTCTTCAATAATAGACAATAGGTATTTATTAGTATGTAAATTTGACTAAATTGTCCCGATTCTATATAAAAGTTTGCATGAAAAGTTTTTCCTAAAATCGGAAGGCGGGTCTATGAAAAAAATCTCTTTCAACAATGTATAAGCCAGTCAATTTATCTTTTAAGCAATTGGTCTATCATGACTTTAGAAATTGGATTTCAGTTTATTATATTTGATACATTGTACATCCCTAACCCAGCTTTTATTTTAGAACAATGAAGACTTATATGACAACAGTGAAATCAGTATACGTTATTGTAAAATTTTAAAAAAAATCAATTAATATTCACGATAGGGTATCATTCTTGGTTGTGCTGTTTAACAACGTTGTTGATAACGTTTTTCTTCCAGTGGTCTGTGAATTGTTCATTCTTGTCAGGTTTAGCTGCAAACTTCAGATACTTGTTATTGTTTGTGTTTTGAGTGCTTTCTTTTAGCTCTTTGCTTACCATGTAAAGTTTATCCAAGAGCAATTGTCTTGTTTCGAATTTTAGTGGAGCCTCTGTGGCCGAGTGGTCTAAGTAGTCAAACTTCTGTATCAATAACCTGTCAACACTCAGGTTGCGAGGTCGAATCCCGCACTTAGCAGGTGCGCTCGACTCCAATCTTAATTTTCCTACCGAATGTCGTTGATTCTCTCTGGGCACTCCGGCTTCCTCCACCAATAAAAACTGACCGCCATGAAATAGCACAATAGTGTTGATTTGATTTGATTTTTTGTGTTTTAACGCCACTTGTAAGCACTGCTTTTGGGCTATTTCGTGGCGGCCAGTTTTTATTGGTGGAGGAAGCCGGAGTGCCCGGAGAACACCACCGACCTTCGATAGAAAAACTGACAATCCTAGTCAATTAAGATTGGAGTAGAGTGCACTTGCACGAGCGGGGTTCGAACTCACAACCTCAGTGTTGACTGGCTAGTGATTACAGTAGTAACTACTTAGACCACTCGGCCACCGAGGCCCCCAATAGTGTTGATAATGGCATTAAACACCAATCAATCAAACGAACTTTAGTAGCGATACACACCAAAAGACGTCGTCTAATTGTCCAAACCTCCAATAAGAAAAGGTGGTCGTGTAACACTTAGTTACAATTTTAAACAACTAGCATTGGTATCCTCATCACTTGACAGGCTCCGAAAGGTCGCAGGGAAAATAAAACTAAAAAATTAGCAACATATATATATATATATAAGTCTAAATTGAAAACAACGTTCAAACCTATGAATGCGTTGGATCATAAAAACCGCAATTTTTATACGTGTGCATGTAACAAATTTCGTTGTAGTGGGTTCTAAATACAGCACAAACAACATATTCTATTAATTTAAATATATATCCACATGTTCTAATAATTATATAATAGTATTAAATGAACGTAGCAAGAGGAATTCTTTACTGATGATTACACGGGTAATAAATAACAACAATTTTATAATACTTATTAACAAGGAATATAAATAAGTGAAGTGATATGTGGGGTCAAATGCAACTGAAACAATTAGCAGTTCACTGTTATCCTTGAAAACTTCTTGACAACATCATCATTTTCATCATATCCGACATTTCGAATTCTCCATTCAGTAGATACTGCATCATCATTAATCTCATGAACGGGTTCACCTGCTGTTTTTGCACGGGTCGGCCTGAAAATAATAACATGTAAATAATTATATAGAAAAAACATTTCTTTTTAAATTTGATAATACATGTATAACCAAATAACATTTAGCGAAATCAAGACAAATGGCTTTAAATATATAAATTCACAAAAGGTTGAAATTTACGCCATCAATATCTAATTAAATAATAGAGGGACGATGAAAATGAATTCATATCAGTTGTTGAACATTGGTTTGTGTATCCCTTTGCTTGTTCATCGCTAATTATGTATCCGTCTACATCTTCATCGCGAATTGTGTATCTGTTTGCTTGTTCATCGTGAATTGTGTATTCCTTTGCTTGTTCATCGCTAATTCAGTATCTGTTTGCATGCTCATCGCGAATTGTGTGTTTCTTTGCTTGTTCAGAGCTAATTGTGTATCTGTTTGCCTGTTCATCGCTAATTGTGTATTTATTTACTTGATCATCGTTAAATGTGTATCTGTTTATTTGTTCATCGCTAATTGTGTATCTGTTAGGATGTTCATCGCTTATTGTGTATCTATTTGCCTGTTCGTCGCTAATTGTGTATTTATTTACTTGATCATCGTTAATTGTGTATCTGTTTGTTTGTTCATCGCTAATTGTGTATCTGATTCCTTGGTCATCGCTAATTGTGTATCTGTTTGCATGTTCATCGGTAATTGTGTATTTCTTTGCTTTTTCATCGTTAATTGGCTGTGTATATGTTTGCTTGTTTATTGCCAATTATTAATATAAATAAGACGATGAAGTATGAGTGCCAATGAGACAACTATCCGTCAAGTCACAATGTGTAAAAAGTTAACAATTATAGGTAAAAGTATACGGCCTTCAACACGGATCCTTGGCTCACACTGAACAGCAAGCTATAAAGGGCCCCAAAAAGACTAGTGTAAAACAATTCAAACATGAAAACCAACGGTCTAATCTATATAAAAAACGAGAAACGTGTATTTATTTGTTTGTTCAATGTGAGTGTTTCTTCTAATTGTTTAAATAAAAACATTTCCTCCAACGACAAATTATAGTACCCAGTCCTCTGTTAGTTACAAACATCATTCTGTTTATGATGTTTAAGTTGTAAACTAGCGGCATATACTTTGTATTTACTCAAATCGTAACCTTGGTTAATAAAATTTTGGACGAAACAAGCTAAAACATGCGGTTATATGTGTATGCACATTATGAAATGATTTGTCCTTTGACTTACCAAAGCTGCCATTGGCTCTTTTCGGAAATACTCGGATTGCTGCTGTCTGTGTTTGGGCACATACCAATATAGAAGCTATTATGAAAACTACGAGTGGTTTACAGGATGCCATCTTGAAAACAAAAACAAAACAAGAAATGTTATTAAAAAAAAGTATGTTGATACCAATTAAACCATTACTTGCTAAACCCCCCGCGAAAACAAAGTTAAAGTAACACTTTATAAATTGGGTGCATTCGAAGCGCTTTTCTGGATATCTCTTCCTCAGAAACGCTCAAACCCCCAAATTTGTAAACCGAGAAATTCAATGTTTAAATATTTGAATACGTGAAAAGCTATTTGACCAAACGGGTACTACTAAGAACAGCAAGAGATCAACTTTGCCTGAGGGAGTTGAGACCTTAGTTCTAAATAATTTTTAAATGCATCAACAGAGAATTAAAAAAAAGTGTGTTATAAATCATATCAGTACCGAAGCATTGACTACTGAGCTGATGATACCCTCGGGGACTTACAGACCACCAGCAGAAGTTTCGACCCGGAGCTAGAATAATGAAAATACCCTGCACTTCAATCCGGTCTACATTGAAGAACCAACCAAATTATTGATATTTGGTTCTAGTCCTGAATATGCATGACATATTTGCAACTAGATCTTAAGCAAACATCAATTAATTAAACAATTTTATACTAGTAGTCTATACATGTATATTTTCTTTTTAATTATTTCGGATGTCGTAGCTTTTGACAGAGGACTTAATGAGCGGACCCAATTTCTCTGACTGAGGGACATGACCATCATCACAAGAGGTGTTTGTTAGGTAAAGTTGGAATGAAGACTTTAAATATGATGTCTCCTGTAGGGAAAGTTTAATTCTCTTTGCATGTTAAAGAACCGTTGCAAAAAATCCCCGAGAGGTCTGTGATTGGCTTGTTGCAATACAAAATGTCTGCCCCTATAATACATATTTTCTTTTAACATGCAGTGGCAGTCCATATATCCAGCTCTTCTTTCGTGTCTGCATTTAGGACCTACCAGCGTGTTTGGTGATCTATTCACGTTTTGAATATGTATGAAATATTTGCTACAAGACGTTAAACAATCATCGATCAATTAATTTTAGTCTGATAATGGGGTTAATTGCATTCAATTAATTGTAACTCTTTAATAGTTTCACCTAAGCAACTTGATGATAATACTAAAACTGGCAGTTCAGATTAAGCAGTTATCTATCCACATTGTAGAACCTAAAATCTGCATGCTTCATATCTCTAACTGAATACAGTTATTACAATGATCATATGTGCATGTTCAGTGGAAGTGTGTGTCATAATATTTTATGTCCTTATAAAATGCAAAATTCATGACAGCACGTGCTTCCCATGATAACACCACAACAGTGCATGCGAAAAACATATGATATAATTCGTGTTTTCATGGTTGTAGCATAAAAATGTAATAATAAATAAAGGCAACAGTAGTATATCGCTGTTCAATAGTCATAATTCGATTAAGCAAAAACAAATCCGGGTAACAAACTAAAACCGAGGGAAACATATCAACTATAAGAGGAAAACAACGGAACAACAGAAACTCTGAACTACAACAAAAGCAAACGCCAACATACATAGAAACGGGCTGTTGATAACAACTGCCATATTCCTGAATTGGTACAGGACATTGTAAGAAAACATGGTGGGTTGAACCTGGTTTTATGGGTAACCAAACCTCCCGCTAAAAATCGAATGCTTCTTTGTGTAATTTTATGGGGTTTTGAAAGGGTTGATCGTGTGCAAAACGTGCTTCGGTCAACGCTTTTACACCCCCAATAAAATTAAATAGAGCAACGCAGAATAAACTTTAGACGTATTGCGGTATTATGTGAGGTACGTCATTATTTTATGTGTCAAATGTTGTACAAGTACGAAGCTTGTAAACTTTAAATCGGTACCGAGCGTACGCTAAGTCAATAATTAGGACTCATACAGATTAAATTGGAATTTTCAAAACTTAAAAACAAATATATTCATGACCACAATGTTAGAATTATATATTCCTTACCACCTAAAGTGCAATATGGATGCATTTGATTTAAACAAGAATGCACAATGTGCATATTTATGTTTACGTAAAGAATTCTAATAATATTAAAGGAGTGATTCTAAGATACAGTGTATTGGGAATACTCAACGGCACATTGTACAACACTCTAGATTGTCAAAAATAATCAAGTGACAAGACATTAGACTAAAATTATATTCCTACATACAAGACCTGAAAACAGAAAATTACTTTGAGACAGAAAAAAATGTATCCAGCTGACAAGGTTATCTTACATATCACGACGCCATTAAGTTCGACTCAACCCGTCTTAAACTGATCCGTTTATACTCAGTTATAATAATAATATTTCCATTACTTAGATAAGTTCCTTCAGAATGGTTAACAAAAATCAATTTCATTGCAACTTTCTAATAGATCATTGAGCTCTAATGTCTGTCTTATGAATGTAGTAAAATGCATTAAATGAAACATTAAGCAAATAGATTAAAAGCCTGAAATGAATAATGAATTAAAGGGAAACCGTTTAATAGAGGTTTCTCAATATCTTACGAACGGACGAAACTCTACGTACGTATCGTTAAGGAGCAGTAATTTTGTTAAAATAAAATCCACGATAAATTTCTGCCGATATTACAGTGTGTTTCAAGACAACAGTTATCAATTTCATAGTCTTTTTTCAACCTTGCATTTTATTTTTTGTGGTTAAACATCAGTGTTCTAATTTATTTTCTGTTGTTGAATGTTGCGTATTCTTACGTTGTGTTTCGTTTGTTTACATGTCGAATATATGCGTTCGATTTATCTCCCTTATCCATTTAAAAAGAACATTGTTATGTAATGTTGATGTTAACAACAATCGGCGCGTCTGGTTTGTATTTGATTGATTGAGTGTTGGATGTAAAACGTTCAGTGGCAAGTATTCCATGAATTTCGCGACGAGATTAGCGTTTGATAAAGGATTGAAAAGTGATTAAGATGACACAAGTTTAGTATATTTCATTTATTATATCGACACATCCTTTATAAATATGGAACGAATAAAGGAGGAGTGTTTGGGTAAATACTGTCTCCTAGAATACAGCACCCAACTGGAAAGTCTTAATGTACACTAGGTCCAAGTGGTCCGACTTTCTGTAACGCATGAGTGTCATTTACGTGTTCGAGAGTATCTTGGATAAATATGTCGTGAACACCGCTATTTATTTAAAAGAAAATTATCTATTGGGATATTGAAATATAAAGGAAAACTCGATCAATCGTAAAGTAATCGATTTTTGTGTATTCTTGTTGAAAGTATGAGTGCTACAGCACTGATAGTTACATATTTTTTAAAAGCCACGGTATATTTTTCTAAAAGTCCATCCCCTTAGTAAAAAAAAAAAAATACAAAAATAATATCAGAAGAAAATATATAACCAGCATGCCATAAAAACTCCACAAAAACAAGAAAACAAAATTAATTATATATACTAAATTTTGTACGATAATAAAACATACACAAAAAGAATAAGAACGGCCATGAAAAAAACAACAAAAAAACTAAATACATAACAGTACATCTTTTTAAAGTTTTAATTGTTTTTTTTTTTAAATATTTATTTCAATGTTTCCCGTTAGTTATCTTCTTGAGTTTACCAGTTTAGCTAGAATATAAATCAATAATAATCATTTAGGGTGAAGAAGTGATTATGTGGATTTTAGAGTTGGGGCAACGAAGCGGTTATCCCGGATCCGAGGATTTTTTTTTGTTTCAAATTAAAAACTAGAGGCATTCACGCCTAGATTTGTATTAACTCATGTTTGCGGAAGACCTTCTAGCATTGATCTCATCCTTGATAAGATTAAAAAAAAATCCTATCCCCTTCCATTCCAAAGTCCTATATTTACCCTTTTTCACATAAATGTACTAAAAAATTCAAATGATGTTGTTATGCTTATCAAAATCTCTTGTACGATTGCTGCCCTTGGTCTAAATATTTTAAATTATATTCTTCCCCATAATTTTTTGATCAGTTAGATTTTTCAACTGTGTTGATTGAACCGTAAATTGTATATTATATATTATATATGTTGTGTACAAATTGTAATGTTGTACAAATTGTAATGTTGTACAAATTATAATTTGTACAGTATTTTTGTACAAGTTATCAGTATTTTGTGAATCCCTTTACATAACTAGATAAAATAAGCACAGTGTCTTTGGTTAAGCTTATCACTGTTTTATTTCCACAACTACATGCTACAGTCTTGCACATAGTACTGACAAAAAGTTTATACAAAAACACTAAAATATATTTTGTGGACATAGAATTTGGTATAAGTAAAAAAATAGAAATATAATCTTAACCAATCATGTGTCCTTATTTGTAGTTTTATGACATAGAGGACAGTGCTTAATGTTAGGTTGAAGTATATAAATTTGTGAGTAAAACACCGAACTGGATAATTATTGAAGGTAAACTTGTATCACATGGTGAAAGAAGGTGTGTGTCAAAATACTGATAACTTGTACAAAAACCCTGTACAAATTATAATTTGTACGAAATTACAACTTGTACACAACATATATATCACTCGTCAATATAATATGTCTACGACTCAAAATGGTCTTAAAAATACAGCATGTATATATATTTTTTTTATATATAAAAGACATTTTTCAAAGGGAAGAAGAACACAGCCGATAGTCCAATATTATTAAATAAATTAATGCTCCCTCTTTTCTCGTTACGGCAAGTTACGTGAAGTTAGGGCAATTTTCGTTCGTTCGTTAGATGTTGAGAAACCTCTACTACCCGGTACAATACTAAAGGGATGAATTTGCCGACTTTTCACGATAACACATGGTTAAAACTAAAAGAGATATAGTTTGGGTGTACAGGCTATTCTCGTTGTTGGCAGTTTAATTTCCCTTTTTAATGCAAACAAGAGAAACTATTCTGTAACTCTGTGAAGTCAAAAATATTCATATTAAGTACTTAGAAGCAAAAACGTATCCAATGGTGAATGATATTGCTATAATTTAGTAAAGAATTATTTTAGTATCAAACCTATTTCTCAGCGATAAGCTGTATAAAGTCTGTTTTTTTGTGCAATAAATCAAGCATGTAAATTCAACCAAACCGATATACTGTCTTGTGTTCTGTAAAAAGCATGGTCGTTTTGTCCTAAAACTAATGACCAAATCACAGCGAAAAGTTGTATAATTAAAAAAAAAACAGTTATTTCGTGTATATGCTATGATCCCAGTACATGTAACTGAAATTTATGATCGAATTAATAACTGAATTTCTGAGAGGTCATAACTGTAGATAGATTTTTAAATATCTGCATCAAAGATCGTTCTAGCTTTTTGTTTTTGATTTATTAAGTTTCGGTGCATTTGGAACTGGAACATGCTGTTTATTTTACACTAGGAAATGAGGTAAGTAGTCAGCAACGATATCAAACACAGAAATTGTGAAGATATTTTTCTTTTACAAAAGATATGAAAATGTTTAGATTACTCGATGTTTACCTATCTTTATATACAAAAAAAGAATATTTTGCAGCAGTTATAAAGAATATCCTTTTTAAGCCATGTTCAAATTGATTATTTTTAACAGTTTCGAAGATATTTAAAACGATGCTAATTGAATGCAACGTTTGCATTATGGCATTCATTTGTAAAACAAAACAAATTAAGTTCCTATTTTGTTCAAATTGTTGAAACTTGTATATTTCTATCAAATAATAACGTCATCGTGCATATACAATAAAATTGAAATCCTGAAAATCTTAGACCAAAATCATTAATATTCATGATCCTTTTATAGAAATTACATAAATAAGTTTTTTTAACAAAGTGCTGACTGCTTGATATTACTTCTGGACTAACAGTCTACCAACAGTGACAGTGATCTCTACCCATTTGAAGTCAATGAAACGATTTGAGTTGGAGTGTTTCTTATATACAGTGTACTACAGAATACTACTATCCAGAAAGTTTAAAGCTGATGAACAGAAATAAAACCATATTTGATACCATTTTCAATCATGTCTGGTTTATCTGTATATGAGAATAAAAATAATATAGTAACAGAATGTCATGTTGAACACAGGGGAAAACAATATTAAAGCAAGTAAAATTACTAATTTACTCTTAAAAAATAACTTTAGATATTGTAGAAGATTTCTTTCAAGATTGGTGTGTAATAAACCATGCTGATAGTAACACAATAATTATGAAGTTCGATGTTACATTGTAAGAGACTTGATTCATGTTTATCAATTAAGATAATATGATCTTAAGAAAAAAAACTTGTTTCGGTTTTACAAAACTTAAAAAATATAAATTTAAAAAAGAAGTGAATAATGCTTTATCATGTGAAGGACAAAATATAATAAACTGTTAACACCGAGATATGTCTCGCCTTTTTGTTATTTTGATAATGCAAATGTTGAAATTAAAATAGCAATACTTTAACATGTAAGTTATGCAAATATTCAAATTCAATGAACCATGACTGAAGGTAAGGACTAAACAATCTCCATGGAAAATGTCAAAGCTAATACAACTCGGCATACCAAATATCATTGACTTATCATAATAAGACGTTCCTTTAAACACAAACATTAACTTGTAAACTATGTAAATGTTTTAAAGTCAATAAACCATGATAAGGGGGTGGGGCTATATAATCTCTATGGAAATGAGACTTGCAAGTGCCAATACATTTGCATACCAAATATCATTGACTTAACATTAGTGGTTCATCTTAAACTAATCTAATCACAAACTAATACATATAAACTAAGCAAAAGTTTCAAAGTCAACAGACCATGACTGAGGGGTCAGGGTCAAATAATCTCCATGGAAATGAGATATGTCAATGCTTATACAACTGCATACCAAATATCATTGACCAACCGCTAGTGGTTCCCCTTAAACTGACCTAATCACAAACTGATACATGTAAAGTAAGCAAAAGTTTCAGAGTCAATAGACTATGACTGAGGGGGCGATTCCAAATAATATCCATGGAAATGAGATGTGCCAACGTTAATACAACTGCATACCAAATATCATTGACCTAATCACAAACTAATACATTGTTGACGCCGCCGCCGCCGCCGACGCCGGAAACAACCGGAAACAGCATACCTAGGTCTCGCTTTTTGACTCCGTCAAGGCGAGACAAAAACTGTTAGTTCTATAACATAGATACACCTCTTAAATTGTTGTTCCTGACAGCGAATGTCAGGTGTGCGCATTAACCGATAAATATTTGCAGTTGCATGAAAAAATATGGGAGTAATCAATAAATCATATAAACAAATTTGAATATAATAAAAAAACAAATGAACCATAACTATAACGTTGTATTATAACACGAAAGATTACAGCTGATAATTACAAAAATCAGGTGTTCATGAAAAGCCATTTGAGCCTACTACATTAGTGGCACCCGTTGTTTATGTTGCTCGTGGCAAGAACGATTTCGGCGAATCATATTCAATGCTGTCACATCGAGGAAAAGATAGAGCTGTGGCAAGTACAAATGGATATTACGCGTTGTCATCTATGACACAGCTATTCGATAACGTTCATGATGATGTCTGTAAAACTCACGAAATAGGACTTTACCATTAGGAACCCTTGTTTCAATATATTCCTTGTAAGAAGCAACCATCAATCCTCAATTACGATATTCAAGAAAAGAAAAGTAAACCGCGTGAAATTTCGTACCAGCTGGGAGATATTTACAGCAAGGCGCTGCTGGAATGTTGCAACACAGAAATGAAAAGTTAAAAAGGGGAAATTGAAATAGTACTGGTATTTTCTCGTAAATTTTAGTTCTTTACCGACCCTCATTATAATTTATATGGTTTGCTACTGTCCCCCTACGGATACATTATTATAGAAAAAATCCATAGGAGGTGAGGCCAAATGAATGAATCAGGTGAAATGTTTACAATCATTTTATTTATATTAATGTTTAATGTTAAAGCACATATCGGATTTCACTTACCTTAATTGTAACGGTTAGTCAATGAAAAGGTATATATATATTCTAATTTCTATGAAATTTAGTGCTAATTCAAGATAACCATGAAAATATAAATGGAATCATTGGAAAAGAGAAGGCAAAGTCTGTGACAAATGAAAGGTGTGTCTTAACCCGCCTTTACTGTCAATTTTATGGTGTAGACCAAGTAATGAAGCAGACTTAGGTGCATCTTTGGTATCATGTATTTTAAGGTTAAGGGGATGCACAAACATGTCTGCAATCAAACAAGTTCCTAATTCATTCATTTGGCCTCACCTCCTATGGATTTTTTCTATAAAAAACAACAAGGTGAGCTCAATTTACAGATATGTATTAGTTCTTGTTAATTGCCCCCAAAGATCAATGTTTTACTATGAACTCCAGTTTCGAAATTATCCACAATAATAATCATAAAATAATAATCATAAAATGAGCTTATTAAGGAGTGCTAATTTCGATGATAACTATGTTCATGTGAAAAAGGGATATAAAAAAGCTCATCAAAGATACCAGGACTTATAATTTTGAAACCATATAAATATTTAATGGTGTAAAAGCTTATAAGATGACGCAAATTATATGTGAATTGTTATGCTAAATATTCTTGCTACATGTACAAGTAAATACGCACTTTAGCAAGGGTGAATAGTAAATTACTTAACGCTTTTACAAGAACAAGTATGTAATATGTCTTTAGAAAACACATTCAGAGCGATATTTTTGTTCGCCGTAAAGACTCGCCAGACTGTCAAATTGTCTTTCCTAATGCCATGAATTATAAATGAATGAGCTACTAAGATAAGAAGTTGGACAGAATCATTATAGTACAATGATAAGTTTATCCACGTTTGTAGTATAAATAGTCACTGTACGAGAAGCAATGAAATTATAAGAAAATTAAATACAGTCAAATGAAATATATAATGAATAAAATATGAGCCTTAAATTGAGAGATTTGAATTAACTAGAGAAAAAATAAATGCACTTATCATAAATATATTTACCTACCTTTCATGCAAGCAAGTTAAAACTGTGGAAAATAATTTACTGCTGGTTAAAACATTTTCGTGTTTCCAGTCCAGTAAGTGCATGTCAATAAAATTAATAGCGACATAAGGATTTTGCAAAAAAACTACAAAATATCCCAAAATAATGAACGTGACAACAGTAATACACGATTCCATATTCCGCCGAATAATTGTTTCATGTCATAATAAGTATTAATATGCTGTCATTTGTGGCGGTAATTAATTATATATTTCCTCTAATTGTTTATTTATTGTTTGTAAAACAGATAAGGACTACAACATGAACATGTTGTTATTTTAGATTACAAATAATGCACAAAGTATACACACCTTTTCTTTGGACGAAGTCGTAAAACGTTAGGTGTATATCAATAAAAGTATATAAAATATACGGAAATTATAGCCAGCAACACTACGATAAAGGTTTTTCAAATTAAATGAAGACATAAACGGGTCACCGTACACCCTTCAATAATACAACGAACGGTGAGCTGTGAATTAGGTTTGGTACGAGAGCAATAATAACTCCAGACCATACATATTAACATCAACACAGAATAAAAAAAGACCCTCTGCATCACCCTTAAAAAACAAAAATAAACATCTCAAAATGCTAAAAAGGATTCTGTTTTGAGACAAGTTAAAATGTAATGCTAATTGAAAACTGTAAAATATCACCATATTATCATGATTTTAGAGATTATTTGCAGGTATTAAATGTTGGTTCAACATACTTTGCCATAAAAGTCCTTTGTGAATAGTGTAGTAACTGTGACACGATCTGGTTTTAGGTTTATAACCATAAAACTCATGATAAAAGATAACAGTACAGTAATATTTCAATGTATTATAAACATTATAAAAATAATATTTAACAATAGCAGTATAGGCAATTGTCCCTCTACAGAGTTTATTTAATCCAATATTAATTTAGAATAGTGGGGCGATTTCATTTGCGCGCGCATTAGAGGATTGATATTTTGTAGGTTTTCTCGCAACAAGACTTTATTACATTTGTGCGTATTCATTTTATTGGTAACACATTAAAAATGTATATATTATTATTCATTATAAATATGTAGAAATTGTGAATTTTAAAAAACAAAATCTGCTACAGGACAGACGAAAACAAATTGTTCCCCTCGGAAAATGTTTACATAACTCACGAGTATTTATTTTCTGTTCAGTCCATCCGTGTTATTAAAATTATAAGGCTTCTCTTTAACGTTTCTGCGTTATTCTTCAACAGGCACGATAGGGACTAAAAGTAAAGAACGACAAAGTACAAAACATTAGAGAGTAATGCAAACAAAACCAGCCTAAACATCCTCGTCCTTTGGTATCGGTGACGAATTGTCTCATTGGCAGTTATACCAAATCTCCTTATTTTTATATAACATAGAACAGCAAAGACAGTCTACGCCGATATAAGCTGAGGAGCTTGATACATGATCTTCCAACAGGTGCTTTTTCCACGATATAATTTGACGTCACAAAGCAAATATTTTAACGTCAACAGGGGCAGTTTAAATTCATAAAATCGAAATTGGAAACTCGTCTATTTATGAAATCTTTCAGAATCTGTCAAAAAATGAATTCTTAATCTTCAATGTAAATATTATTTGTATTTAAAATAACAACTTGGTATAAAATAAAAAATTGACATGAAAAAAATACTTTATTAAAAAAGTCTTCGATTCGCTTCTCCCTCATTCCATTAATAAAAGCCATAACCAGTCATTGTTGTTTTGTGTTTCTTTTTCTGCCATCATTTGTTGCATCAGCCACATCCGAAGGTAAACATTTCCAACTTGGTTGCCTATAAAATAATAGATATACATAATATGTATTTATTTTAGGGGCCAGCTGAGGGCGGGATTTTCTCGCTGCATTGAAGACCCATTGGTGGCCTTCAGCTGTTGTCTGCTCTTTGGTCGGGTTGTTGTCTTTTTGACATATTCCCCATTTCCATTCTCAATTTTATTACATATATTGTTTTTATCCTGTAATTCAACCTTTATCTGAGCCTTTTACGTTTAATCTTTTTCTAATCTCAACAGTTGTCTGATATTTTATAGTAACATACACGACTTATACACCGACCATTAAATGAACTGGGACGTAATAGAAGTTTTAACAATACCGTTCGTTCAACACAGAAACAGGATAACAGTACGCTTTTTTTGTTCAAGTAGAAATAAAGTTAAACAAGAATGTGTCCATAGTACACGGATGCCCCATCCGTGTACTCGCACTATCATTTTCTATGTTCAGTGGACAGTGAAATTGGTGTCAAAACTCTAATTTGGCATTAAAATTAGAAAGATCATATAGGGAACATGTGTACTAAGTTTCAAGTTGATTGGACTTCAACTTCATCAACATCTACCTTGAACAAAAACTTTAACCTGAAGCGGGACAGACGGACGAACAGACAGACGAACGAACGGACAAACGAACGAACGAACGAACGTACGTCAGTTTAAATGTTGCACCATGGGAGCCCACCGCGCATATTAATATGTAGAAGAACGAAGCAGAGTGGGAAATCTGGTTTTCGTCATATTGTAGCATAAATACCAGTAATTAGACAATCTACAAGAATGACTACGCAATTTGAGAATGAAAAAAAAATGAAAAAAATGATTTCGCAAGTTTTTGGGCATTTTATGGAATACAACAGAAGGTGACAACAAGTTTACGTCAGTAGGATATAAAACTGTACGAAAGCGCAATTATTTGCGGAAATATACAGTCATGTAATTGTTAGCGAAAATAAACGTGTAATTGTTGGAAATTCACTATGTGTAAAGGACTAATTGTTTTTTTAATTTAATAGTACGGTATAATTAGACTAAACAAAAATAAAACGACAAAACGATAACAATGGTTCCACGTCCTTTAACTGGAGTGTGCATTAATTGAAAATTGGTAGGTGGAGAAAGGTTCATCCAGATTACAGATAAATAGATATAATTGGGAGTTCGCAAAATTAGCGTGGTAGTATAATCGCTTGTTAGATTAACACATTTAGCTCATAACTAAATGACTGCTACATATTTGTTCAAAGCATTTGTATCTCACCAAAATAAATCGAAATTAAAGTAAGAACGAACTAACAATAGAAAACGTGTAACGTTTACATGATTAGAGAGAGAACTGAAAATTAAAGAAAATATGTGTGTTCATTTTTTATGGGGGGTATAACTGTGTGTATATACCTGGTTGAATTGCTGACTTTGTAGCTGGCATTGCTGTTTGGGCATTACTTGTAATGAACGCAACACTAATGACTACCAGAAACAAACAACCGAAAGGCATGTTCATAATCTGAAATGTAATTTACGTACATATAAATATCATATTTTTTTTTAATTTGAGGTTTCTTGGCAAAATTTTATAATGCTACCTAATAAAAAAAATCTGGGGAAGCTCAAGACGATGGAGGAAAAACCACAAGAAACACAACCTGATAGACGGGATATTGATCAGCGAACACCATTCATATTACATTATATTAAAATTTTTACGAATTTGTAATTCGTTAAAACTTAGTCACGTGTACATTTGTATTTACTCAGTTTGCACGCCAATACTGTTGTGTTAAGCTTTTCGTAGGTCAAAAACAGCATATTGCACAGGGCATACAGCATGTTACTAAAAAATACATTCAGGAAATCCCATATTTTACATTGTTCATGTAATAGTTATTGATTAATAACATAACAATTGTAGCCTTTGGTTGAGGTCAAAACTATGTTATATCGACCTCGGACTTCATCCTCAGTCAATATGCTTCTCTTAGGTCGATATAACCTCGTATCGACCTCATACAAAGGTTATAATTGTATAATATTTATAAATGAATCTCAGACAAATATGTATCGTTCTTCATCAATATTAATATTGGTAAAAATCTATATGGAGCTCCACCATCTGAAACAAACATAATTACACATTGCTAAGTATTCCGTTGGGATGGATGCATTATGGAAATCTCTCCGAAATATGATACAAACCTAAAGCACGTGATTTGCGCGTAGAAATAATATTATACGTTTTTTTGCTACCTTTGTGTCGTTACTGCTGCTGTTGGACTTTTAGTGTCACTATATATAAAAAGAAGATGTGGTATCATTGCCAATGAGACAACTCTCAACAATAGACCAAATGACACAGAAATTAACAACTATATGTCACCGTACGGCCTTCAACAATGAACAAAGCCCTCACCGCATAGTCAGCTATAAAAGGCCCCGTAGTAATAAACTTGAATGTGTAATTCTGCTAAAGCTAAGTTAACCTTAGACGGTTTTGGCTGTTCGGTTGAAGTCCTATTGTTTTTATGCTCATCAATCTTTATTAAAAACATTTACATTCCATATTTTGGTATCTAGCGTATCTGATGCGGAATATTTCTGTAATCACATGATGAACGAACGGGCATATAATATCATTTATCAGATAGTTTTGTACAAATTGGCATAGATATAACAAACCTGGTTGGTGTTAATTTTCGTTTTTTTTTTTTTTTTTTATTTAAAGAAAATGGTTTAATATTAAGATTGGACATCTTTAGTTTGACTTTCCATATATGCTACAGGTATTTTTAGAAACACTGTTACATGCTAATGCATACTCTAAAAAGAGATGAAATCGTAATATATTACCATTGGGAAATTCATTTCAATTCGAGATGTCTGGTCGTTATTGCGTAAACCACTGAGGGTTTACGCAGTATATATTGGACGATGTCCGTAGTCTTTCGGAACACCGGATGTTATTCGGAATACATCTGTTTCTTTCTATGGCCACCTTTCATATACATGCGCAATAGCTTATCATTTGACCTGTTGAATCATTAGCATCTTGAAGTTGCTATAGAGATATGTTACATATGATGCAAAATTTATTATGACGCAAGCTACTTTAATAAGCATTTGAATACTTCCCAATCTAATTAAAATATAGATCTAGGATTTCGTTATACTACGTTATACTACATACGAGGTACAACGAAATCCGAGATCTATATTTTAATTAGATTGAATACTTCCTTGCACGCAATTACAAG